ACAGTTTTACTGGCAGGGGTGTAGGTTGTTTTACTGGCATAACTTGCCTACACCAAGGACTTTTACTGACAGAGGATGTTAGACCAGAGATTACATCTCTTTCGTGGCCCTGTCAAACCTAATGACATAGACGTTAATTGAAGCAGACCTAATTTTAGCTATAATCAGATGTGACCAGACTGTTTGGGGTTACTATCTAAACTGCTATATTGTTCCTAAACACTCACCATCATAAGTTGCATGATAAAACTTTTTTTTTTCCCCCTAATATCAGGGTTTGTCAAAACAAGGAAAGCAAAAAAGGAAAATTTATCATGTTTGAGTCTTAGTATTCAAGTATAGGGGTTGTCTGACCAGATACAGAGCTGAACTTTGGAAAATACGTGAGTGTTATTTAGCTTCAATTTATGAAACGGTGATTTTACAGTGAGCTTTAAGCCAGCTTAAACAGCTACTGACAGGCATTGACAGCAGCAGGTAGCTTTTGATTTGTGCCCGTGTCTGCTATACTAGCTAAATGCTAGGTAATACTTCAGGTCATTTAAGCTGGAGTTCTGAAGTTCACAGTTTAGTAGCATTTTGGTGCTAGGTGCTCATGTAGGTTATATCACAGAACAGAAACAGGCTTGTTGTAAAGACAGTAGTAGTTCAGTGTAATAAAATAAATATATAATCTTAATACTTTAATAATGTAATAATATATAATATAATAATACTATAGTGTTATTTTAATACTTTAACCATGAGTAGCTAGTGGCACTAGAAGGGAACACTGAAGAGCATATTTATGTAATTGAAATCTACACAAAGTCCTAGATATAACACATATATAAGGTAGCTTAATGCCCTTACTTGACTCATATTTGTTTTGCTTTTAGGTGTTGCCCTTTGGAAATATTAAATGTACAACATCTTTTCTATGTTTTGAAGAAATAGTGCTCAGTACCTTGAAGTGACTTTTAAGAATTATAAACAGAGGGCCAAAGCTCAGGCTGCTTGACTGTTTTAACACAGAAAATGTGCTGGTCTATTGCTGAAACTGTCTTTCTAACTGTATCAGTGCCCTGTAACATATTTTGACATTTGGATATCTGTACATAAAGAATGACTTGATTGGGACACATTTTTAATGACAGTGCCTATAGGGTTTCTGTTGTTTCCTAAAAATTATCTATGCCACCTTGAAAAGCTACTTTTGTGAATAATTTAGGGTATTCCTATAGGAAAACAAAATTCTCTTGGAGTCTATATTTTGAGCTGTTGCTGTAACAAACATGATGCAGATGAATGCTGCCTTTCTGACAGCCACAAAACTAATATTCTAGTTGGGCTCTGAGACTAGTTAGGGCATTAGCAGCAGTGTAAAGTCCTCTGGTTTTCATCTTTCTGTTTTCTTAAACCTGAGGCTCAGGGACGTACTTAAATTCTAAACTTTTTTGCTAGGAAAATTTCTCGCAAAACTACAACGCTGAGTGTCATTAGGTTTAGCTTAAAAGGAAGTTTGATTCCTATCCACCCCCCACTCCTGCTTCTCTTAATGGCTTTTACTGTGCTGCCTGGGCTTTCTTCTTTTACGATGAAAAATTGATAGTGGTTAATATAGCTGCTTTTGAAATGGGATGGCTTCTAATGGATTTCTAAAGCAGGAACATCAGGATGTGCTCTTAATTCCAGTTGTTAAAATACTTTAGTTGCACAAGCTTCTCGGAATATCTATATTAATAAAAATGAATGTTGTAAAGGATAATGGTATACATGAAAATTTTGCCAAATATTTGGGTTATTCCTAACATAGGAGTTTGGAAATGAAAAAATCGTCTCAGGGAGGATTTTCTTCTTTTTACTTGTTAAATGGTCTTGTAAAAGTTGGTGAATTTACTAGTCTGCTAAGGAGTTATTATGAGTGAGTAACAGAGTTTTTAAAGTAAAAAAATGACCATAGGGCATAGGAGCAGTATTAAATTTCCCAGCAAAAACAAGAAAACAACAACAGCAACGAAAACCCCCTTGTGGGGCTTCTATAGCAGACACATTAGGACAGATTTCAGTCTTTCACAAGGTCCTAGAATTGATTGATCTTAGTGTTGATGGGACAACTGATCTCAGCTCAGCCTGTGAAATAAGTGGCAGTGGAGGAGATCTGAGGTTGAATTTTTAATCTTATAAAGCTCAAAGTATTTTCCTTCTGTTCACATGTGATCCATAGTTGCGCTGGGAATGTTACTGGTGGGAGAAGCAGTAGTAACATAAAAGCTGTCTCTGTGAACAAGTTTACAAGGCAGGACATTGTTATCCCTTGTATTCAGAGGTTTGTGCCTTACTGGATTTAACCAGTGGGTCTCTTCTAGAACACGGGGGGAGAAAAAGAAGTAAATGGTTAATATAGTTGTACGGTGAACTTTGAGTGTTAGTAAAACTAGGACTTTTTCTCTTGCATAAAAGTCAGCATGAATACTCGTAAAATTAATGCCTAGGACTGGGGAAAAACCTATCTTTTTATCTCAGATATATAGCCCTACTGAAAAGAAAATTTGAATTATGTCAGACCTTGTATTCTGTAACATTTGGTGGGGGGGAAAGGAAGGGGGAAAGTCTGGGTGGATCAAATATATGAAGACACAGCATCACTATAGATACTTAAGAACAATAACATTGGAAAAGATTTAGTAGTTCTCATTTTTTTTTATTGTTCTTGAATAATATTTTAGATGTTTTTGAACTGTATAACATTTGTGATCCCTTTGAAGTCACTGATGATTTATAGATAGGGAGCTCAGCCTGTTGACCAGCCGTATAGACATTTAAAATGGTATTTGTTTCCTACAAGATTAGAATTAATCTATAATGCTTGAAAAATAGTCTAATTCCATGTTCATCTTCTTTCACATGTGAATTTCCACCTATCTTGTTTTCTTCGTGCTGTTCACTAGGAACAACTTAAAGGTATTATAGCAAAGGAAAATAGCTGGGGTTTAGGGAAAAATAGCGTAAGATTCCTTTTTTGTACTCCTTGGCTTTTTTATTTATCAAGTGATCATGGACAGTTAGTTCTAGAAAGTTAAGAAAATCTTTTGTATGATAGGGTTAAAAAATCATTTATTTGCTTGTCTATCATACCACTGTAATGTTGGCGACATTAATATTAGGGGAATTACAGATGGAACCTGTGACGAACATGTTTTCTTCATGGGTCTCTGAGAGAGACTGTGTCGCTCAGGATGCCAGTAGCAGGGCAGTAGCTCCAAAGTTCAAGGCTAACAGCTTTACCACTGGGCCATCCTTCCTTCTAGCAGCATCAGAATTATGTACGAGTAATCTAAAAGAAGTCTGTAATGGGGGTAGCATTTACAACAGCAGTCTATGAAATAGGCTATTAAATAGTAGTCTGTGAAAGTAGAATTTATTGGAAGTGTAGCTCAGGATGTTCTGTGGTGGAACAAGGTACTGGAGTCTTTGCAACAGAATATCACAACCTGGCCTGCAGTTTGTTAATAATGAGTTGAAGTAGTTTGGAAGTTGAAGAACGAGTCTGAAATGCAGAGCAGTGCACAGATTTACATGGCTCTTGTAAAACTGAGCAAGGGCATGGTAGACTAAGATGTATATAGCATTTTTGTTCTTCCTGGTTCTTTAGCTATTTAAAACAATGTCCTATTCCCAAATGGCTTTACTGGTTCGACGGCAGACATGTCTACATATGCATTGATGTGCTGTGGTTACTGCACATTAAGTTTAGTACCTGTAATAACTAAACAGGTACTGCACAGTAGTGCCAGTGCATGCCTTTAAAGTGTTGCTAATATACAATAGACTAATCCTACTGTGCAATAGCGCAATAGCACAGTTTTCACCATGACACTAATACTCAGTAGAATTAGTCTACTGCACATTTAGCATCTCGTGTAGACATGTCCGGTGTCATTCTTTTAAAATGTGCTTCTTATGGAGAGGAAAGCTGTTGATTTTTGCAAATATGGGGCTTGGTGTCAGCCAACTAAGCAGTGTTGGCACTCATTCTATTTAGATTTATTATCTATTCTATTTAGTTGATTACAATAACACAGTATAAGTTATTGTACCTTCATAGCGAGGAATCTACGTTCTGAAATATCACTTAATATTTGGTGGTACTCCAGCACTTTCCTGCCAAGGCTCTTAAATGGTCATAAAGAAATCAGTACATTAACAAGTCATTCTCCTTCCTTCAAATGTAGTTCCAGCCATACTGTTTTTCCTTTGCACCAGCTAATAAACTAAAAGCATCAGTGTTCATCTCTGTGATGTTAAAATCCCCAAAGGAAAGAATTTGCTTGTATTTTCAAGAAAGCAGTAGAAGCTAAGTGAAATTTAAAGAGTGTGTTGGTATTAAAGGAGACCTTCAGCTGCTGTCCAAATGAAGCAACAATGTTATGCTAACTTGGATACCGTGATGTGGAAATGCTTTCATCTATAGTTGTAGTGATTTAAGCTGCCATCTAATTAATTGGTTATGATTTTTCGTGTATCTCTGTCCTTTACTTGGTGTAGCTGTTCTTTGCCAAGCAAATCTATGTTGTTACGACTTTTGGTAGCTAAGTAAATAGATCAAACCATGCAACAAAATACCTCTTTTCCTACATACTCTCACACGGACGTTTCTTCAGCCACCAATTAACTTTTTTTCTCCTCCAGTGCTTTATGTCTCTCATAGAAGCCTTGAAGTTGACAGAACCTAGCGAGTGCAAGTCTGTTGACACTGCAGGCTCCTAGTCAATTATGTACCACTTAGGTGGCTTAAGGGAGTATTGTAAAGTAAGCACTGGGGTGGAGTTCCGATGCAATTAAGCAGTTTATGTACTGCACTGTCTCACAGTAAACATTTATTAATTTGGTAATCCATAATTAACACTGGCACTGTGGTATGTACTTGTACTTCAGTGCCTTACTTCTTTATTTGAAGATGACCAGGCTTGTTCTTCTTCCTGTAATGTCTGCTCTTTGTGTCTTTTTTTTTTTTCCAGGACACCTTTCCCTATAAAGACATCATCTTGATGTACTTAGAAAAGGCTAGGAGCTTTGTGAATGGACAGTGTGAAGGAGTTGAGCCCTGGAAATTGATTGGATTAACTTTTGCTTCTACTCTAATATTGGTATGGATGCATAATTTCCTCTTCCAACCAGAGAGTAAGTACCCTGGCACATCTACCTGTTGTTGGGGATTCTTTGAAATGTTTGGGGGAGTAGGGCTGTTATATGTGTAAACATATTTACATCTATACAGTATACAATCATAAACCAGTATGTATTCTTCACACAATCCTTTGTCAAGAATTAAGATTAAGACTTACTAGTATTAAGTTATTTAAGCTTTGATCTTTCTTTACTACAGCATGGTGGAAGACATTTTGGAACATGCATATTTTATGTGGAAAGGCTTCCCTGTCCATTCCCCCTTCATAATGGACTGCAGCAAATAAATGTTTAGCCAGAACATCACCCTTGCTTTGAGTCATGGGTCAAAAACTGGAACATATATTTTTGTGTTCTTTGTTCAGTTCCTGATGTGGAAACATGGCACAGTATTAATGTGGGGGGGAGGATCTGTCACGAACACTACTTAGATTAAATGAAGGATGCTCCCTTTGATTTTGCATTAAGTATGTCTCTTTGCTCACAAAGGTAGTTATTTATGGTCCACACTCTCACTTCAATCAGTTTTCTGTGGTTTTTTTTCCCCCTAGGTTGAAGTGTTTAAATGTTAAAATTCTTATATCTGATACCTTGTTCCATTGCCACACATTCTTCACCCTGGCAAGGTGAAGTCAAAGAATACTAGATTCATCAGAGAGGAAAGCCTAATACCTCATAGACCTCACAATAAGGATTTAATTGTAATGTATTAGAAGTAACCTAGTGTTAAATGTGGAGAAGCACAATAAACTTCGTCTGTTGCATGTTCTGTCCACAAATGGAAATGCACGTAGCTGAAACACTTTTTTCTTTCTTTCTTAAAGAATAAAATGGAAGTTAGCATATTAGTAAGACCCAAAGGATATGTCTGTACTGCT